TACCAAAACCAGACTGACGGATAGCCCTCTCTCCTCCCTCCCCAAAAAAAAGAGAGGAGAGAAAGAGATATGGAGATTTAGAAGTTTAGAATGAACTAAACTACTTTAATAAAGAAATTTAATATTAAAAACAAAAAAAAAAAAGAAGAAAATAATGAAAATAGATACAATATATACAAAACCATATCAAGCTCCCAGGATGACAGTCATGTCACCGGCAGGCAGTGGGGAAGTCCCAGACTGAACTCAGCGATGGATGGGAACTGGGTTCCAGCTCTGGAGTCAGGAACACACGGATCAGGATCAAAGGCAGATGAACAGACAGAGACTTTGAGACGCCTCTTTGGACGTTGGCCATTGAAGGAAGAGGAATTGACCCTTTGATGCCTCAGCTTTTATACCGAACTTGGGGCAGATGGGATGCAATACCCTGTTGGTCAGGTTTGGGTCACCTCTCCTGTCCACTCCTCCCACAGGTGGGACCCCTCCACACTTTTTATGTTTCTGACCCTCCAACGGGGCAAATAACGAAATTGGCTGACCTTGGCTGTTACAGCAATCAGTATGAGCAAGGGCCTCTCTGCACACCATTCCTTGGCATGAAGTACAGACAGTAGTCTTCTCACTCTGAGAACGAGCAGTTTTCTCCACAATCTGCTGTTAACTCCAGAGAGTTAGAAGAGGCCTAGCTGAGATGTAAAATTACAGAACAGAAAATTGGTTCTGTTTTACTTCAAACAAATGTATTGCTCTGCTGAGTGCAGCGGGATTATTCGCAGACACTCTCAGGGTTTTTTACAGGGGATGCATACAGATATTTTCCTTGGCAGGGCAGTGCGGGAGGCTGTATTCTGGAAGTGGTCTAGCCCCTTTTCCAAGATTTTAGACCTCCTGGAGCTGCCTGTGAGGTCAGAGAAAGTTAAAATGCATAGCATTTCTTTATACTAGGCTTACCCTTTGGGCAGTTAAGGGATTATTCTGAGGACTAAAACATGTAATAACTTCGTAGAACAAAGGTTCTCAAACTTTTCATATAATATTTGGCACATTTTCACAGAGAATCTGCAGATGGGAGGAATAGTTTCCCTTGGAAATCTCATTAAGAAAGGCATTAACTGTATCTTAATATAATTAAACAACTAGATTTAGAACTAATATTGTGTGACCAACCAGTTCTTTGTAACTGCTGTGCTGATGACTGTAATCTGAGAAACTTCTGGCTGAGCTACAGCCCAGCTTCCTTCTGGCATAAGCCATGGTCCTAAAACAGCTTAATATTAGAAATGGGTAATTTCTAATTACTTCTCACTTCTGGCCTGGGAGCTCCTTAATGCACAGGAATTGGCTGCTTCCCCTACAACTAGCTCCATGGGCTTCAGTGGGACTACATCTGGTAGATCTGTGCAAATTTTTAGTTCCAAACTTGAAAGGAAGAGGGAAAACAAAGAAATAATCAAAATTTAGGTCTTGATCAGTCTATAATGAACTTTCTTTTAGTCAGTAGCATGACTATTTTCCTGTGAAACGGTACGTGTGAGGGAACCCTGCACACTTGCTGCAACGACTAGTCTATGGGGTAAAGATAGGAAGTCAGCATCTTGCCCTCAGCTTCCATTGCTTTAATACAAGCTCTTAAAAATAAAACATGTTGAAATTCTGTGGCAATTACTTTATTTCAGTCAAAATGGTTTTGTGAATTTGGTTGCATTCTGAAATTATTTCATCCACCCTGAAACAGAATTTTTCAGCTAATAAATTTGTCCAGGTGCCCTTCAGTGGGACAGCCTGGCCTTAACTTTATGATTGCATTTAGGACAATTTAAAAAAACATAGAAATACATGGAATGCAATAAAGGCAAATTATCATCGGGCTCTTATTTAGTAAAGGTAACTGGCAGCAGCTGCTGTGACTCAATGAATCAGAAATAGTTATAGATAATGGATGGTAAGACAAAGACTATGTAATTTTTTTTTCACATGAGAGCAGCTGATCGTGTGACAAGGTTTTATTATAACAACTGTTCTTCTGTTTTTCCAAATGATTGATGCACGTAGTGCTCTCCATAGTCTCTTCGATGATGAATGTTGGTGCCATGAAGCAACTGTTACTCACTGTGCTATTATTGAACCTGAATTTTGAATGACTTGCGGAATAGAGCAGCCGGGTGTTTAAATCAATGAAATAAAAGTCAGGAAGAGCCAAAGATAATGTTCCTCTTTCAATATAAGCTCGTGTGGCTTGTGCACAAACAATGTTTCTGGTAACTAATTAAGGTGTCCCATCTCTGGACTCCCCATAACAGAATGAAAAAGGATGAGGCATATGAACCAGTGCTTACAGTTTGGGTGTGAAAGTTGTTTTATTTTTTTCTCTTTCTCCTCTCCTGTAGTGGCAAGGAAAGCTGGGAATGGGTAGGAGGGAGCAATGGCTTGGCTCTAGGGAGGCAGTGTATTAATATTCCACATGTGCTTCCTGAGGCTGGAATCAACCCGAAAGCTGGGAGAGCACCTTTTCTAGCTCTGCTCATCATAGTGTCTTGCTGCTCACCTCTGGGGGTGCACTTATACAGGAGAGAGGTATGGGAGCACCTCCCATGTTTCTTCTTCCACGGGGCTGAGGTTGCTCCATGGATTCATCGAGCTGGGCTCCAGGATTGGAGGGAAATGTGCTCCACCTGGCTTAGAGAGATGAGTTCTGTTCACACTGTATTTGTACACCACTGATCTTCCCATCTCCATTCTCACACCAGGAATGAAGTATGGAACAATACTTTTGTTTTTAAACTGCCGACAAGCAGATGAGTTGATCCTCCTGGAGAAGTTCCACCTCTTCCTCGAGATTCATAGAATCATAGAATCACAGAATGGTTTGGGTTGGAAGGGACCTTAAAGATCATCTAGTTCCAACCCCCTGCCCTAGGCAGGGACACCTCCCACCAGAGCAGGTTGCTC